GGGGGGGAAGCAGGCTAAACAGGATAGAATTCTGCTCAGTTTAATTCGAGGCCTCCATTCACCACGTTGACAGCAGGTACCAACACTTTGCAGCCTTACCGACACCTCCAAAGAATTCCCTATTTCGAAGCATTGGTGATTTTTTTGTCTCTCCTACCAGTGATTTTTTCGTCGGTTTTATGCTCCCCTTGCTGCCTGCTCCTCTCTCCTCCCTCCAAGTGAATATTGTTTTCTTTTGCTCGACTAGTATCGGGATCGCGAACCAATCAGAAATGCGCAGTTTCACCTAAAAAATCGAATCCATGAATCTTTTCATGACTGCTCGACGCATTCATAAACTGCAATTAGCGATTGACAAATTTGTTTTGGGGGATATGCCAGTGACTCTATACCTTTTCATTAGCGTGACACTTTGTCTGCCCTCTATGTATTGTTCACATTCTTTCAAGACATGACATAATTTTCGAGCAGCAGCTCATTGCTCTGTTGGGATAATGTATTAGATATGAGCACGCTAAAGGCTTCAGCGCCGCTAAACTGCGACCGTCCAAAAGATGCGATGTCTCTTGAGATTCTGAACAGTGATAAAGCCAAAACGTAAGTTGATTAGAGCTTTTTTATCACTTTGGTAGCAGGTTTTATAAAAAAAGGTTTTACAATATTTATCCACATGCTTTCATTTACTCGTCATAATTTCAAAAGATTTCTCAATAACAAAAGGAGGGGTTTCGCTGTGGCGTATTTTTCACTGCGAGCTGTTGTGGGAGCTGACGCGGCTTGCCCGCCTTGTTCAGCTCGTTTATTCGAAGTTAACCTTATTTCTATGCCGAAGTTCTGCCAATGTGACCTCTTAAAATGCTGCAATAGAAATAGCCATTTCGCGTTCCCTTTAAGGATTGTGCTTACCTTGTTGTTTGTTCTTAGTTAAAAAAACTCTAGGAGTGTATGAGCTTTTTCGCCATTGCCATATCATAATTCTTTATGCACGAGCACGCTAAAGGATTCAGCCGGTTTAAACAGAAAAAATATAACAAACATGATTTTGCCATGAATTTTGTATAATTTTGCAGCTTCTGTCGAGAAATTCTTCTGAATCGCTACTACTTGAGCAGCTCTTAACTCAATGTCGAGTGATTAGAAAAAATCGGAAGTATTTTGTGTCCCATTGTGAACAAAATTAAAATCGCTGGTCATGGAACAGAACAACCGTAGGTTGCGGTATCAGTGGATCTGCAACTCTCCCACCAATACTATCTCACATGCACACGAGCGAGGATCAATGGTTACCAGGACGTCTGGCGTCTCTAGTCGAAGCCGTCTCACCACCTCGACAAGCACATGCCGCCAAATTGTTCTTTATGTTCACGGAGGTCTACCCGACTGAACAGTTCTCATCGGACGTCAATAATCGCTACTATCTCTACGCTCTACACATTTTCCCATTTTTCGCCCCTTCCCTCAAACAAGATGCAGCCTCCCTAGGCACGCTGGAGCGTTGTTTTTCAGTAGCAATTTCTCTCCTTTGTTGTGCATAACCGTTATAAGCAAAGCGCTTGCCTCAACGTTAAGTTTCACTTTATCGAGATTGTTCATCCGATTCTTTCGTTCTAAGTTCAAGCCAAAACGCTCCCATCGTGCAGCTCGTCAATGAGGAACAGGGGAGCTGCCACTACTGGTGGACAGCTCCCCTGTTCCTCATTGACGCGCTGCATCTGTCGTAGTGGTAACAGTCAATAACATTGCCTGAATGTTACTTTTTCCACTTCTACTTGTTTTGTGCCTGTTTATATTGTGCTTATGCGATTCGTCATCATTCAGCATTCCGTTCTCCCCTTGCTATTAACACATGGAGGTAATCACCGCCTTTGTTCTCGTTACAGATTCTGTTTCATGCAGACAGCTCTACGGGCCATGGCGACGAGCGCTGGCGAAAAGCCGCCAGTGGCTATGCCAGGGAAGTTGATCGAACCGATGGAGCGAGCTCACGCTTGGGCTGGACGTCAGCTGAACAAGGCTCAAAGAATAATTCGCGAGCTCTCGTTATCCCATGCCGACCCAAAGGATATCACACTTCAGTGAGTATTCAACCATTCAATCATTCATTCAGAACAAAATGTGTTAGGAATTCTACCCACTATATTTATCATTGAATTAAATGAATTCTTTCAAAATTGTGTTACTCGCAGTGTTTTCCGGGTAACGTTCCAGAATTATGAATAATGGATGAAGCCTTGCGTATCAGTCTCCTTCAATTTTTCAGAGATGATCGGTGGTAGTTCAGTGAAAATTGACATTGCATCCGAAAACAGTGCACTCACCCGAATTCTCAGTATGTACCATGACAATTTTCTTCTTCCCCGAGCTTAAAAATTATGAGGTTTTAATTAATGAAGAAAAACTCCCTCCAACTGAAGAGATAGTCTAACATGAGTTACTCCTCGGGCAATCTGCAACAAGGCATCAAAAATTTAGGGCGAGCACGAAATTGGAAAGTCAAGAAAAAAAAGTTCTGTTAATTGTACTGATTTCATCGTTTCTGTATATTGTGCATACCTACGATCAGCTGGACAAGCATCATTACTTGTTATGTAATTGTTGAAAATTTTCCCTGGCGAAATACTTAGCCATTCATGCAAGCTTTAGGTCTATTTTCCGTTTTTGCTAGGCATCATGAAAAGCTGGACCGGCACGCTTGCATGCCATATTTACTTTTCAAGCAGTTTTCTAGCCTGGAAAAATGTAAAAATGTTTTTTTTGTGAAGAGTAAAAAAAGAGAGTTGTTCTAAAAAGGTCTTCAATGTGTAAATATCAGAACACCTGGCTGTTTAATTCCTGACTTCTCCTTCCTAATGCTGCTCATTTCTGTTTCTTTTGCTTTCTATTTGATTAATGTACTTGGATTTCTGTCTCTGAGGATATTTATGGCATCTAGAGTTGATTGCATGGGTCTAATTTGCCTACTGGAGAATAGACAGTAATGAATGAGTGCCTGCTAGCGAATTATGCGCACGATTTTATGATTGTATGAGGTGATAAAATCGAATCACACCGTAGTCACGTCGCATGGAAATTCTTTTTTTCAACATTGCTTTCCAAATTTAGGTGACTCCATTGTGAAAATTCTCACTTATAAACAAAAATGATTCGAAAATTATATCTATGGCGATTCCCTTTTTGTTCTTGTAAAAAAAAGAACTGTATGTAGAATGACAAGCAGAGCACTCATTACATGGGTCATTTCAAGAGAACAAAACGTCTTACTAGCACGCACGAGATCTGGCCTTGTTATCAATACCTTTTCTTCCACAACTTTGACATTATTTACCTTCAATAATTGAAGCGATCCTTTGTAAACCTATACCTCTCATTTGCGCTGAGGTGGAGTAGTTGCAAGGGGCGCCCTATCACACAGAGATGGTCTGCATTTCGAGTCCCTATGCCAACCAGAATTTCCGTTTCACTGTGGTCTGTTAACTGGCATTGGTACAAGATCCATTGGGAGGATAAAAGACCTTACCTTACACCATATACGACCGCAATTCGTTATATCGTTCACATATGCATTCGAAACGTCACACTGATTTTAATTGAAAGTCGAATGCATGGGCGCGTAACACAAACAAGATTGATTAACATCAGAAGCCTTTAATCAATGACACACCTTTCATTGAGAAAGAGTAGTCTTGAAGTGTGTGCTTCAAACCGTTCATCGCCTCTAAAATTCCAAAATTAATCCACAGAGTACATACCCACCCTTTTTGTTCGAAAAATCACGAGAAAAAACGCGATTTTGCGTTTTTTCGTTTTTACTCTGTAACTAGGTTAGTTTCAACTTTTTTTTTATCTAGTATGCTATATGGTTCATCTTACAAGGGAAGGATCCCAACTCGAAGTGGCCATTTGAAATGGGACATATACTGCTAGACGTATTTTTTGATGCTGATTTCAAATCTGCATTCAAAATCTGCCAAACGATTCTCTGAACGAAGTTATGGAGGTGGTCTCCGGGGAACGCTCCACAGGGGGAAAGCACAAAAGCCATGGTCGCCGGCACTCCAGAAGTGGCAGTTTGGAGTAGAGGTAAGTGTGGCGCTTCATAGGCATGGGACCAAGGATCGAGTTTGACGGGCGATGGCGTTTTTGCATCTCGCAGGGCTTTTTCTCCAAGTTGGAAAAATCTTCTTATGTTAGTATTACTGCCTTTAGCAACTTTTTAGTTGCTGGAGGTGAGTCAGTTCCTACTTAAACCGTCTGACATCTACTCCAACCACCAACAATCCAAAGTTCTATTCTTATTGTTGTACATTTCAAATTCACTGTAGGACAACTTTTACCTATTAGATACGATAATCTAGCACGCAGTGTTTAAAACAAAAAAAGTCTTCCTCAATGAGCGTCAACCGACAGCGACCAAACATCAACGACCCTCTAGATGTGCTTGCTGTTTCCTTTTCAGCATCCGGTTCCCACAGTGGATCGGCCTCTTCGTCCTCAATCACACAGTCTCAACATCGAGGTCTTCGTAAAATGATTGCGCAAGGTAGAGGAGAAACTATCCATCATTTTGTGCTCCTTCCTTGTAAGGGCGCGTTCAAAATCACAGGATCTGAAATACTTCTTGTTCTTTAGTGTTACATCCATCCATGTATACCATACTTTGCCACATGGCAACCCTTATCTTTTTTGAAAACTGACCACTACCACGACCTTTTTTGAAAACTAATCGATAGCAGTGGAGGAGGTTTAAGTAGGAACTGGCTCGCCTCCAGCATTTAATAAGTCGCTGAAGGCGGTAAAACTAACATAAAGAGATTTCTACAACCTGTAGGAAAAAGTCCTGCAAGATGCAAAAACGCCGCAACCAACCAAACCCGATCCTTGATCCCGTGCCTGTGAAGCGTCGCGCTTACCTCCACTCCAAGCCGCCACTGCTGGGTCGCCGGCGACCATGGCTTTTGTGCTCTCCCCTGTTGAGCGCTCTCCGGAGACCACCTCCATAACTTTGTTCAGAGAATCGTTTGGCAGATTTTGAATGCAGATTTGAAATCAGCATCAAAAAATACGTCTAGCAGTATATGTCCCATTTCAAATGGCCACTTCGACTTGGGGTCCTTCCCTTGTTAGATTGTCGAGCTCTACGAAGTCGTGTCCAGAAGATTTCCAAAAGCATTTTGAAGTCCATCTTCCATCAAAGTTCCTGAGGATACGTCATTAGCAACGACGCCTGCTGTAATTATAACTAGAAAGCATTCACTTCTATTGAGAGAATTCAGCGAAACGTAGGGAGCTAATATTTTCCGACATTAGATTAACATTAAATCATGGCATTCCTCAGATCGTCGTGATCATTTCGAGATCAGTTTACTTCAAAATTGATGAATTTGGCCATGCGCCAATTTCAAGTGACAGGGGCTTCTTAAAATGACAAACTCTCAATATGGGCTCATTTCTATTCCAAGTGAATGATATGCCTAATCTCAAAAAAAAATCACTTCCCTATAACTTGAAAATTTTGGTTTGAGTTCAAGGAAAAAGGTTATCCGGTACGCTCCATGTTTTTACAAAGAGCACACGTTCTCTTGCTTTTTCATTCTAGCGCTACGCTACACGGTTAGTACACTAGTAGCGAATGATCTTATTTCGCTGTCCTTATGCAGTAATATTATTGCGGATTAGCATGCTCGCGGATTACGGAGCTATTTGGTCTTATACGTCTTATACGTGCGCGACACGCGCAAAGTTAGCGAAGCTCTATGGGCGGGGCATGCGCTAGAATGAAAGCTACTTTTCAAAAATAAGTATAACTTTGTTCAGAGAAGCTCTAGGACTTGGGAGAAAGTGGTAAGGTATAGTAGCACAACTGTGGTCAGACCCAAAAGTGGGCGGGGTTGGCACTAAAGTGGGCGGGGCTTAGATCAAAAATTTTAACTCTATTCAGAAAAGCTCTGAGATGCGGGAAAGAAGTGGTAAGATGTAGTAGAACAAATGTGGTCAGATCCCAAAAGTGGGCGGGGTTGGCCCTGAAGTAGGCGGGGCTTGGATCAAAAATTTGTAAGCCTGTTCAGATATATTTGAACGCGGGAAAAAGTTGTCCAGAGGTAGTAAAAGCCATGGGTCAAAACTCTGAAGTGATCGGGGTCTGCAACGAGGGAGCAAGCTGAGGTCAAAAATTCATACCTCTTTTCAAAACATTTCCAGAATGCCGAGAAAATGGCCAGGGTGTTTGAAAGAAGGGTCAAAGTTTTGCAGTGGGAGGGGTCTGTACTGAAATGGACAGAGCTACGATCAATAATAATAATTCTGCTCAAATGAAATATATCGAGCGTGATGCTCTCAAAGCGGTTCAGCGTTGAAATAAGAGAGAGTCATCTTATTCTGGCAATCCAAAATTTAGTTGAATGACACCATCGTAGATGAGCGGTCGTGGACATATAATGCACGCGTTAGCGTGCATAGCCCAACTGGCTTAAAAGCAAGGCTAGATAGAATTTTGGAATTAATCTACGCAATAGGAATTCGCGTAACATTCAAGACAATTGAGAATCATTTCATTTTTTGCAACTGCAACGCTAAAAACGGCATTTAGGCTATTTCATCTCAGTATACCCCATCGACTATATACATATGTTTGCTATAAATTGACCTTTGTAAATCATTCAAGTAGACAATGTTGAATATAAGTACAATGAAGTTTCATAAAAAATATGAAAGTACTGACTAAGTATTGATTGTGCAAATAAACATGATGGCACCGTTGTCGTTGTAGGGCTAATTAGAAATTATCCTGTTCGCCACTCAACGTGGAACTATGGTGATGTTATTACAGTAAAATTATTACTGTGTAAGTCCGTAGAATGTATACTTTAAGCTGCTCGCTGTTAGGCAACACTGGTCAAGTTACAGCATGACCGCCGGGGCTGTGTGCCTGCAAGCCACTTTCGATTGTGAAACCGATTCGATTTTATTATCTGCTGAAGCATGGGGGTGTGGCCTGAGGCAGTGACATGAGGGCAGCGCGAACTCAACCGGCTCGGCTAAAGATGTACGTCTGAAATGTTTTCAGTATTCTATTTGATGAT